CAGGCCTTAGTATTTTTTTAAGCTGCTCTACCTGGCACCATTTTTTTTTTTTTAACTGGCTTCTCAGTCATCATCTGGGTATGACATTCTTAGCATCATTAAGAACAGCACTGATACAGCATAGTTACTACTAGACTTTCTTCTTAATGTGTCTTTTTAAACTTTATCAGATGTCTAGCAGTCAGTTTACATGTTTCCTACCCTAAAATGACATTGTTTGTGAGAATATGAAAATGATTATTATGAGGCTATGAAAAACATTATGTAAAGTCCATAGCAAAGTAGAAAATATTTTTCCCATTTATGAGACACCTCTATATTGAAGATAGTCAATATTTCTGATATGTGTATTATTAATCTTTGTTGGTTGAAGTTATGTCACCATCTCCAATTAGTAAATGTTCCTCATTTATGAATAATCAAGAACTATGGAAAGCCTGTGAGAAAGAGCTTCCTTGGTTGAATTCTTGACTATTTGCTTTTATATCAGAGTTGCTCCTTTTAATCCACAATGATGCTTTTGTGTACTATTTGAACATTTTGGTCTAGAAAAGTTCTTTATTATTGTGTGGTGAATACAGGTACATATATGTGGAGGTCAGAGGACAACATTTGGGAGTTCATTTTCTCCTTCCACCATGGATTCCAGAGATCAAACTCAGGTCATCTGGCTTGCACAGAAAGGACTTTTTACCCTCTGAGCTGTCTCTCTAGCCTGAAAAGTTACTTTTCATATTTAAGGGAGCTAAGCATGGTAGTGCATGTCTATCATTCCCGCACTCACAAGGCAGAAGCAAGAGGATTCAGTGTTTGAGGCCAGCTGGGGCTATAAACAAAACCCTTTTTCCAAAAAAAGCGGTGGGGGGTGGAGGGGACACATTTTGCTGGGGCTTGAGGTTAAATTTTAGCAGGAATACTTTCAACTTCTCGTACTCCTTTCAAACAGAATAGCCCCATTCTTACTCATACTATATATTGGGTTTTGTAAAAATATTAAGATTTTGAAGAAATTTCTGTATATTACTGATAAAAATATAAATTATTTAGACCTTAATTATTGTAACTTGAGAATTCATTTTCTTATTTCTCCCAAGGAATAATGGGATTACAATGGGCAAAACACCTTGGAAATGCAGTCAAAGTTACAATTAATGACTTGAATGAAAACTCTGTGACTTTAATTGAGAAAAACTGCCATTTAAACAAATTGAAAGTGGTGGTAGACAGCAATGAAAAGGAAGAAGGTGATACTCTTGAAGAAGAAGGAGAAGGAGAAGGAGAAGGAGAAGGAGAAGAAGAAGAAGAAGAAGAAGAAGAAGAAGAAGAAGAAGAAGAAGAAGAAGAAGAAGAAGAAGAAGAAGAAGAAGAAGAAGAAGAAGAAGAAGAAGAAGAAGAAGAAGAAGAAGAAGAAGAAGAACAACAACAACAACAACAACAGCAACAACAACAACGACAACAAGAGGAAGAAGAGGAGGAGGAGGAGGAGGAGGAGGAGGAAGAAGAATCAGAAACCCTTGGCAATATTCAGGTGACCCAAATGGATGCCAATGTACTGATGCATTTGAGATCTTTTGATTTCATGTAAGTGGAAAAAAAAACATTGCAGTATTACTTGCTAAACAGCTCTGAAATTTTTTTGGCTGGGGAAGAGTAGTTTAAAATTAAAGCAGCTTGTGGTTGTTTGTTTTAATATAGTTTGGGGGTTTATTTTTGTTTTTGTTTGTTGTTTGTTTTACATGGACCTGAGATAAACAGTAAGAAAAATTTCAGGCTTTCTGGACATGAACTTTTCATCCTAGTCCAATTTATTCCTACTTGTTTGGCTTGTCATATATCATTTTGTCACTAATTTTAAAAGCTGAATTTTAAATAAGTTTGCAAAGTACTTTTATTTTCCAGTTTTTTTTAAAACAGGCTCTATGTTGCCCAGGCTGGCCTCAAACTGGAAATTCTCCTGTCTCTACCTCCTGAGTACTGGGATTATATGTATGTTGCCACCACACCTGGCTTGCAAAGAACTTTTAGATCCATGGAATTTTATCATTAGAAATTAACACAGTGGTATAATGTTGATTACTAATATGAGCTTAGATATACCTGTTTTCTTTCTGATTTTAGACACCTAGACCCTTTTGGAACATCAGTGAACTATCTAGACTCTGCATTCAGAAACATAAGAAACCTTGGCATAGTATCAGTGACTTCCACAGATATCAGTTCCTTATATGCCAAGGCACAACATGTTGCCCGGCGTCACTATGGATGTAACATTGTCCGAACAGAATATTACAAGGAACTAGCAGCCAGAATTGTTGTAGCTGCAGTGGCAAGGTACTAAATTGCCAACAATGTACCTAATGTTTTAGCATGACTTACAATTTAAAGGGATAAGAGACAATTTAAAGAAATAACAAATGAGTGTTTATCTTACTTTTCAAAATGTGCTGAATTATGAATTCTATATCCTTTATAAGTAACTTTGATTTATTTTAATGTGTTTTTAATCTTACATTCTTTTTTCCTTTAACATTTATTTATGTATTCATGTTGTGTATATGTTTAAGTCCATGGGTGAATGTGTGGAAATCGATGGGCAGCTTGGAGTAGTTGATTCTCTCCTTCCACCTTATGGGTCTGGGGATCAAATTCAGGTTTATCAGGCTGGGTAGCAAGCTCCTCTACCTGCTGAACCATCTTTATCAACCCATTTACCTTATATTCTATCTGTTAGAATTTCACTTAAAAGTTTATATGTGAAATAATCAGTTTACTCTCCAACTTAAAATATTAATGTAAAAAAGATAAAAAGGTAAAATTAATTTTAGACTTGTTTAACTTAATAATGGTAAGAGGTAGTAACATGAAAGGAGAAACAAAAATTGGTTTTAGATTTATAAGCTATGTGAAAGGTCCATTTCGTCCTCATAGTTTAAATAAAATGATAACTTCTAAACTTGATTCTGCAAAAATGATCTTATAAAACAGGAAAGACTCTTGTTTCTCATCAGAATTTCTTAAGAGTTGAAAAACAGGAAAGCTTTATTTGGCCACCTACTGTGGGCAAAATATTATGTTTCAAGAATGATTTAATAATGTAATTGGACATTGAGAGTACGGATAATAGATGATCAGCTGGTTCATTTGCTAACCCAAATGCAAGTTCCATAGCATTTACGTGGAAATTCTTGCCTCAGCTTAAATACAGATTAGTCTTTATAGATCTTCTGCATTATTCCTTAGTAACTAAAAACTCTGAGCATATACTTAAAACACTTAGAAGAGCAAATTTGAAATGGTGTATCTTGAAGAACTTAATTTAAAAAAATCTGCAAAATTAATAATGGAAAGGACTTTGACTTTTTCACTGAATATTCAGTGAATATGATCTTGCATACCGTCAGTATTCCATAAATATATAATATTTAGAAGTTGTTTAGGAAAAAATTAGATTAAAAAGTCACAAAATTAGCCGGGCGTGGTGGCGCACACCTTTAATCCCAGCACTTGGGAGACAGAGGCAGGCAGATCTCTGTGAGTTCAAGGCCAGCCTGGTCTACATAGTGAGTTCCAGGACAGCTGGGGCTACAGGGAGACCCTGTCTCAAAAAGACCAAAAAAAAGAAGTCACAAAAGTAATCATGATTATAAGAAACAAAGTCATGCTGAAAAACCAGAGACTGTAGTTCTATTGGAAAGGTTATCTATCCTCAATGGAAAATATCTAGAGGCTGAACACCCTGCCGAGCCAGTATGTGGGTACTGGGATTGAACTTGGGTCCTCTACAAGAGCAGCCACTGGTCCTAACTTCTGAGCCATCTCTCCAACCCCCTAGCTGAGTGTCCTTTATATCTTATATTTCAATTTTATAAAAGTCATAGTAATGATCTTTTGAAAGCACTGCTATTAAAGATTGAATTTCCCATAACCCTCTCATAGTTTGCTGTCCAGGTTTGTGTTATCAGTACATTGATATAGAAGGAAAACAAGCTGTTTTGTAATTTTTTTACAGAGCTGCAGCACGATGCAACAAAGGCGTAGAAGTACTGTTTGCAGTGGCTCTGGAGCATTTTGTGTTGGTAGTTGTGAGAGTTTTGAGAGGGCCTACGTCAGCAGATGAGACTGCAAAGAAAATTCAGTACTTGATCCATTGTCAGTGGTGTGAAGAAAGAATTTTTCAGAAGGATGGTAATATGGTAGAAGGTAAATTGAAGTTCCTCTTCAATTGTATATTGTCTATAAGCCCTTAGTGAATAAGCCTTCATTGTATCTCTAATTATACATATTGTGCTTTGATTTTCAAAGATACAGTGCTAAGTTTGTTATTTACTATTCTGGATTTACTTTGATCAACAGACAAGAAAGTGAGTTTTCTAAAGTTATTTTAAGCTACTGCTGTATGGTTTATGCTCTCTAGCCCTGCCCTTCATTGAAACATCTAGAAATAACTTAGTTTCCAGTGTCAACTAATTTTAGGAGCATAAATCAGATTACCTGTTTGTCTAAGCTATTATAAATTATTAATTTTATAAAAACTTTTCTGACTAAATGTAAGTGCTTCCAGTCATAAACTTCATTTAGTAAACATTTATTGCATCTCTGCTATATGCCAGTCCTTAGAATTCAAGGAAAGAAACTGCAGCTAATGCTCTTATAAAGCTGTGTCTGTTTTCTTTTTGGGGATACAACAAAAATTTGCCCATTGTTTTCTGTGAGTGCTGGAATTAAAGGAGTACACCACCATACCTAGCTAGCTCTTGGTATTTTTTTTTATGTAATTTTTATTTTTAACCTGTAGGCTAGGAGTAAATGAATAGAGTAATACTTTCTATTCAGTGACTTACCTTAGCCAATTTCGGTGTTCCAAAGGTTAATGTAAATTTTTAAGAACTCTTTACAAATTAAAGTTTAGCCCTTCCTGTATGAGCTACAAATTTTTTTCATGTTTTCACTTGAGTTTGTACCTTTTTTTTAATTATAGAAGTTTTTTGTTAATACCATAAAGGTATATGTGTCTTTGATTTTGTTTGTAAAAACATTCCTATTCCTAGATAAATCTCAGGAGGTTGTTTTATTGAAACATTTCTCCACTATTTGATAATACCTTCATTGTCTTATATTAAGCTCAACTTCTGTTTGAGTCTGTCTCTGAATTTTCTGTTCTTTCCAGTGGCTGGGTATCTATTCAATTACTTTGCTACACCATCCACACCACTCTGATTAGAGGGACTTTTTAGCTTTTTTTTTTTTTTTGGCAACTGACTCATATATCCCAGCCAACAATGACCTTGAACATCTTTAGGGGTGGTATTTATTGTATGGGTGTGGGTGTACACATACCATAACATGCATGATGACATCAGAGGACAACTTAAGGGAGTCAGATCTCTTCTCCCCTACCATGGGGGTCTTGGTGAGAGCAAACTCAGCTTAATAGGCTTGGTGGCAAGTACCTTTATTTGCTGAGCCATCTCACTGACCCTAGCCTTGAATTTCTGATCCTCCTGTCTCTGCCTCCCAATGCTTGTTTTACAGGTGTATACTACCATGCCCAGCTTATGAGGTACAAAATTTTTGTGCATACTAGGCAAGCACTCTACCAACTGAGCTACATTCCCCAGCCCCAACTTCTTTATTTTTACTGTGCCAGGGACCAAACCTAAGCCAAGCACTCTACCAACTAAGCTATTTCTCCAGCCCTACCATTTATTTATTTATTTATTTGTTTGTTTGTTTATTTGTTTATTATTTATTTTTAACTTTTCTTTTTAATTTTATGTGTGTATTGCCTGCATGTAGGTAAGTGCACCCATGCCGTGCAATGAATGCCCACGGATGACAGAAGAGGCCTTCAGATCCCCTGGAACTGGAGTTACGGACAGTTGTTAGCTGCCCTGTGGGTGCTGGGATTCAAACCCCAGTCTTCTGCAAGAACAGTCAGTGTTCTTAACCACTGAGCCATCTCTCCAGCCCCCAGCCCTACCATTTAATTTCACTGAATAACAGAGTAATATCAGATAGAATTTATAAACTTCCTGGGTTCTGGATATATCTGGAAGTGGTTGATTTGGTCATGCTATTCCAAGATCAATCCAGGAATGACTTGGAGTAGGGGAAGGTTAGTTGGAAGTATTTCTAACTTTAAATCACTATTTTTGAGGACTGATGGTATAGCTCAGTTGTAGAGATAGCATTTGTTTAACATGGCTCAACTCCTAGCACCTTAATTAATTAACTATTGAATTAATTAAATGACCTCTGGATCTTCAGTGAACTGTAAAGTCATACAGTGGAATATTCTCCCATTTTAGAAGCTAATAATAATGTCTTTCTAATTTCCTCTCATTGCTCTTAAAAACTGAATTAGATTCTTCTAACCTATATTCTGGTGACTGATGATAAATCAAGTCTAGGGAGTAGAACAAGTGTTTTCTTTACAGTTAGGAAAGTTAGAAAGAAAAATGCCTATATGTTTTGATTAGGATGTTGTTTATGTGGGTGTGTGTATTTGCTAACTCATCTACCTTTCCACAAATGTATATATCTTTTAGTGTGTGTGTATCTGTGGTATATGCTCAAATGTGTCGTATGTGCATGCCCTGGATGTACAGAGGCCAGAGGAGTGCTCTATCCACTCACTCTTAGCTCTATTCTTTTGTTGTGTTTTTTGTTGTTTGGGGTTGGATTGGTTTGGTTTGGTTTGGTTTGGTTTGGTTTGGTTTGGTTTGGTTTGGTTTTTGAGACAGGGTCTCACTTTGTAACCCTGGCTGGCCTGGAGCTCGCAGAGATCTTCTGCCTCCCAAGTGCTGAAATTAAAGGCATGCACCACCACTCCTAGCCTAGCCCTATTCCTTTGAGACAGGGTCTCTCATTGAACATGGAATTAGGCTGACAGCCATTATACCCTACTAGTCCTCCTGTATCTGACCCCATAGTGCTAGTATTACAGATGTCTCTGTATGGGTGCTAGGGATTTGAACTTATGTCCTCATCTTTGAACAGCAAGCATTCTTACCCACTGAACTATCTCCTCAGCCCTATTACTGAGATTTCTTAACAGTACCTAACTTCAAAGAGTAACAAGCATGGCACACAGTAGATCCTCAGTACGCAGTAGCTGCAGGTTATTATTAATATAGCAGTTATTACTACTTGCGTTTGTCATTTCTCCTTTGTTTATCCACCCCCCCTCTTTTTTTTTTTTTTAACAGAAAACCCATATAGACAGCTTCCCTGTAATTGTCATGGAAGTATGCCTGGAAAAACAGCAATAGAACTTGGACCTCTGTGGTATGTACCTAAACACAGTGTTCAGATTTGATTTATTGATCATCAGCTTTTGAAGTCTAGGCAAATAACTATGACTCTTTTCCCCCTACGAACCTGAGGCGTTTCAGGTTTTTCTCTAGTATTACTCACCCTAATTTGTGACCAAAGTAAGAGATAGTAGGTAAAAGATAAGCCTGGATCAGCTGCAAACTGAATAACTCATTTCTAAATAGTAAGAAAGGCTGTTTTTGTTTGTTTTGTTTGAAAGACAGTGTCTCAAGGCTAGAGAGATGAGTTGCAGAGAACTGGAGTTAGGTTTCTAGTATTCAAGCAGGAAGCTCACAAGTGTCTGTTAATTCTAGCTTCCAGGGATCCAACACACTCTTCTGGACTCCATGGGCACCCGCACTCACATGTACATACTCCCCCCCCACACACACACCATACCACACGTCACACACACAAATAATTAAAAAATGAGACAAACGTTTCAAAAAATATGGGAAAGTCTCATACACTAGCCAAGCCTGGCCTCAAACTGACTGGGGTGGTAATGGTGGTGTTTGTCGTGTATCTTTGTGTATGAATGTAGGTCACATGTACATGCCACAGTGCACATGTGGAAGTCAAAAGACAGCCTCAGATATCAGTTCTCACCTTGTTTGAGACAGGGTGTCTTTTTTTAAGCACTGTATATGCCAGGCTAGGTGGCCCAAGAGTTTTCAGAGATTCTCTGGCTTCCACCATCCATTTTGCCATAGGAACACCAGGATTATAGAAACACGTTACTGTTCTCAGTTTTGATTTAGTTTTGGTTTTTAGAAACAAGATCTTCTGTAACCCCAGCTAGCCTGAAACTGGCTATGTAGACTACACTGGCCTTGATCTCACAGACATCCATCTGCCTTTGCCATCTGAGTGCTGGGATTAAGGATATGTGCTGCCACATCTGTCTTGATTTGGTTTTTTTAGAGAGGTCTTCACTATGTATACATTAAGCAGGCCTCTAACTTGTGGCAATCCAACTTCTGCCTCCTGGTTGCTAGAATTACAGATGTGTATCATCAGGCCCAGATTTTTAAAACAATTTATTAAATTTGTTTATTTTATATGTATGAATATCATACCTATGTGTATGTAAGTGCACCCATGTCATACAATGCCCACAGAGACCAGAAGAGGGCATCAGATCCTCTGGAACTGGGTGCTGGAATTCAAACTCAGGTTTTCTACAAGAGCAGTTAGTGTTCTTAACTGCTGAGCCATCTCTCCGCCAGGGCCAGCTTTTCTAAAAGAGGCTTTTTCAAAAAAAAAGGCCAGGACTGGTGGCGCATGCCTTTAATCCCAGCACTTGGGAGGCAGGGGCAGGCGGATCTCTGTGAGTTCAAGGCCAGCCTGGTCTACATAGGGAGTTCCAGGACAGCTGGGGCTACAGGAAGACCCTGTCTCACAAAAGACCGCCCCCCCCAAAAAAGAGGCTTTTTTAAAATTAATCATTATAGAACTAGAGTATGATCAGAAGATGAGATCATGTGCCTTTCCATAGAAGAACCAACTATAGAAAAGGATTTAGAGGAAGTAGTTTTAAGTAAAAAGGACAAGTATAGATGTCTGCTTTGTTTTAGGTAAAGCTGTTTTGATAAAATACAAGTAAATAGCATGTGATTTTTGCATTATTGGAAACAAGTTAATGTGTTTTTAATGACTTAAAGTTATTTTTTTGTAATCAGAATTCTTAAGCTTTTTCATTATAATAGATCCTTAAGAAATAAGGACAGGGAGAGATAGATCAGAGGTTAAGAGCACTAACTGTTCTTGCAGAAGACCTGGGTTCAAATCCCAGCACCCACATGGTGGCTAACAGCTGTCCATAACTCCAGTTCCGGGGGATCTGGTGCCTTCTTCTGTCCTCTGTAGGCATTGCATGACACGTTACACACATGCAAGCATAGCTTTCATACACATAAAACTTTTTTTTAAATTTATAATACATTTTTTAATTTGTTGATTGTGTGTGCGTGTATGTGTGTGTGTGACACAGAACATCCCAAACCATCTTATCAACTATACACACTATACACCCCCCTCCCAGATGGCACCCTCCCATAGCCTTCCTTCCCCTTCTAGAGCCCTTATACTCTGATATCCCTGCTACTGTCCGCTGTGTTGTCAGCACCCCCAGCCATTCCCTACTACTGTTCCATCTGGTGAATCTACTCAGCCTATCTAGAGGTCTTTGTTTTAGGAAGGTAAGGTGTTCCTCATCTAGCAGCAATTGGTTGTCAATATTCCTTTAGATAAGATTGGGGTCTGCTGTTCATTTTCCCAGTTCTATGCTGGGTTAGTATCTGGGAGTCCCTTGGGCCACCCTGGCCAACAAGTCAAAAGAAGGTATCTCCTATCTGGTATTGTTGCTTGTTATGTAGACTTTAGCTATACATTTGGACTATTAAAAAATTATATTGGCCCCTTTAATCTTTGGTTATACTTCTCCTTTTGGGTATTTAAAGCCATACAGTTTGCCCAGTTAAACCAATTTATTTTTACTCTTAAGGTCGTTTGAGGATCTGTTCCTCAGGGATCACATGGGCTTGGGAGGAGCCCCTGCCACCTTTCTTTTACCAGTTCCACCTATATGAAGATAAGTCAAAGGTCCTGCTCGACTATGGCTGGCTTCTCTTGGAAGCATGGAGGAAATGTTTCTTCTGTGTTGACCCTCCTCTTTGTAGACTGGGCACTGGTTCAAGTCCATCTTGTGGGGTCGCCTCCGCCTCCTTGATCAAGAGGATAAGTGACCCACCACAATTACAGGACATTTTGAGAGATGCTCATAGTCCCCTGGAACTAGTCGACCTAGGAGGACAAGGAGCAAAAACTGTCCTTTATGTCCCTCTGACCAAATTAGTATAGGCCTCAAAGTATGTCTGTTAAACATCCAAGAAGGTTAGTTCCACCAGTCTGGTACTTTTAATTACTGTGTGTCATGTAGATAAATCTTGGGCAAAGACCAATTGTTCTCAGATAAACCTTACCTGATAAACCTTACCTAGACATATATTTCTTGATCTGGTATGTATAATTTATCAGTAGGTTATTGGACTAATATGGTTCCCTCTGGTTTTTAAAATTGGGCATTATTTATCGCTCTCATTGTCTAACCCCTCCATCATGGTTTCCCCAATTAAGGTTCCCCCATTTTCCCCCTTTCTCCCTTAATAATACCCTTATCCTATGGTCCTACCTCTCTTGAGCTCCTTCTTTCCCTTTATCCCCTAGGTTCCTTGTATACCCTTCCCTCCCCCCCCCTCTTAAACTAACCCAATTTTTATCCATATCTCCCTTATTAATGCCTGTTTCCTACTGTCATTCTCTTTCAAGTTCTTTCTTATCCTTTACCTCCTGGTTCCTTTCCATTATCCTGGTTCCTGGAGTTATGTCTGGATACATACTCGCTTATCAGGATTTGCTTCTAGGATCCACATATGAGGGAGAACATACATCAGGTTTTTTTTTTTTTTTTTCTGAGTCTGTGTTACTTCACTTAGTATAACACTTTCTACTTCAATCCATTTACCTGCAAATTTCATGACTTCATCTTTCTTTACTGCTGAGTAAAACTCCATCGTGTATATGAATCACATTTTCATTATCCACTCATCAATTGAGGGACACTTAGGTTGCTTCCATCTCTTAGCTATTGTGAAAAGAGCAGCAACA